TTTTTTGATTGTGAAAATACTGTACACAGAGGGATTACAATTACATGGGCCAGAGAATGAGTGTATTTCTTATCAAGCATTGTTGCCTCCTCCTTTGTTTCCCCTTCCCATCCCTTCCCATCCCCCCTCCGCCCCCCCCCCACCCAAACCTCCCCCCTCCACCAAAGTTGTAAACTTTGTTTTTCAACATAACGACTTATACATCTCATTGTTGCAATGGGTCCACCTGTATCCCTATTTAAATGATTTGTTTTTTCCTTTCCCCTCCACAAATTATACCAACATCAAATACAGTGAAAGCAGGGGTTATACCATGGGGGAGGGACATACGAAGCAACAAAGAAATCATCTTATAAATATATTAAAAACAATCGCATGAAAAAAAAAACATTTGAATAGTTATCTTGGGGTTCATTTCCCTAACATCAACTTATCTGACCTTTTCTGCTTGACTCAGACATGTACTAGTTATTGCAAATAAGGGAAACCATGGGACCTATGTTTTTTGGGGCCTGACTTACTTCACTTAATATAATTGTTTCCAAGTCTTTCCTAACAAATGGGGTAATGGCATTCTTTTTGATGGAGGCATAGAATTCCATTGTGTATATATACCACATTTTCTTGATCCATGCATCTACTGAGGGGCATCTGGATTGGTTCCATATCTTAGCTATGGTAAATAATGCTGCAATAAATATAGTTGTGCTGGTAGCTTTAGTGTGGTCTTGTTTGTGATCATTTGGGTAAATGCTCAAAAGTGGGATTGCTGGGTCATAGGGGAGCTCTATGTGGACTTTTGAGGAACCTCCATACTGCTTTCCAAAGTGGTTTAACAAGTTTACACTCCTACTAACAATGCAGTAAGGTTCCCTTCTGTCCACATCCCCTCCAGTATCTGTTGTTATTAGAGTTCTTGATTCTAGCCATTCTAACTGGGGTGAGGTGGAATCTCAATGTTGTTTTGATTTGCATTTCTTTTATGGCTAGGGAGGTTGAGCATTTCTTCATGTGTCTATTGGCCATCCTTCTTTCCTCTTCAGAGAAGTTTCTCTTTAAGTCTTTAGCCCACTTATTTATTGGGCAGTTGTTTCTTTGAAGATTTGTTGTTGGGGATTTAATTTTTTGAGTTCCAGGTATATTTTAGATATGAGACCCTTGTCCATTGTATGGCTAGTGAAGATCTCCCAATTTGTGGGCTTTCTATTGACCTTACTAGCTATGTCCTTTGCCATGCAGAAGCTCTGCAATTTTATGCAATCCCATTTGTCCAACCTTTCTTTGATTCGTTGTGTTTTATTAAGAAAATTTGGGCGTGCCAAGGAGACCTAGGGTTTCTCCTATTCCATCCTGTAATGTTTTCAGACTGTCTGCTTTGACTCCGAGGTCTTTGATCCATTTGGAGTTGATTCTGGTGCACGGTGATATTTAAGGATCTAGCTTTAGTTTTCTACAAGTAGTAAACCAATTTTGCCAGCACCATTTACTGAAGAGGCTGTCTTTCTTCCATTCTATTTTTTTAGCTCCCTTATCGAAGATTAGATGGCTATTGGTCTTTAGGTTCATTTCTGGGTTTTCAATCCTATTCCATTGGTCCTGAGGTCTGTTCTTGTGCCAGTACCAAGCTGTTTTGATTACTATGTGCCTGGTTACTTTTAAGACCTTTAAAAATTCATTAGTTCATCAAATATACTCTGCTTATTCCCCCAAATCACTTAAGACCACTGTAAAGGTTGCAAAAGCAAAAATTTAAAAAAAATTAAAAGTTCTCCCTGGAAGAATGTTTACAACATACTGGAATATATTACAGTTATCAATTTGAAAGATACAGTTAAAATTATTTGGACAATTTTAAAAGCTAAATGTGTTCTGAGGGTTCACACATCTAACTCACTAGTTGAGTTCTTAGGATGACTTCACTTCTACCAACATTTGTATTTCTCTTTCCTCTCCCTGGTCCTTCCTAGAGCCACCCTCAGCCAACTTTTGCTGCTCACTGGTGCCCCCATCAGAAACTGAGCAGAAAGGCAGGAAGGGAAAGTTTTGAAATAACCTTGGCTGAGCAGTGATTCGGAGTCCATGCCTTTGTTAAATTATGTGTGTGTGTGTGTGTGCGTGCACGTGCGCGTGTGTGTAATTCTTCTGTCAAAACAATGCTTACACTTTAACAGTTTATCTATTTCTTTACAATGTAGACTTTGTATGTAGTCATACCTTCACTTTCTTCTCTCTGGTCAGAAAACCACAAAGAACCATGATAAGCAATATGAAAATATTAACACTGGACACTCTAATTTCCATTGCACTCTATTTTCTACACTACCCTCATTTCTAATCCTGCTATTTAACTCATCCTGGGGTTATAGCCAAGTGACAGAGAATTTAACATAACATGCCCAGACCCTGGGTTCAATCCTCAGAACCAAACAACAATCCCATCCTTTCAGTTTTTCACAAAGTAAGCTAGGATATTGAAGATATCTCACTGGTACACTTCAATGTTAAAAGCAAAGAAAACTTGGAGAAACTTCATTCTTCCTGCTGAGTAGATTTCAAAAGACATATACTTATCTGGCTAATGCTGATGATCAACTAGTTCCTAATTACAGCTTTCAAAATTCAGAAAATAAAACATGCAATTTAGCCAGGAGGTGGTGGCTCACACCTGTAATACTACCTACTCAGAAGCTAAAATTCGAGGATTGTGGTTCAAAGTCAGCCTGGGCAGGAAAGTTCATGAACCTCTCATCTCCAATAAACTACCAAATAAAAGCCAGAAAAGGAGTTGTGGCTCAAGGGGTAGAGTGCTAGCCTTGAACAGAAAAGCTCAGAGACAGCCCGCAAGTTCAACCCCAAAAGCTATTGTTCCTGTCACTGTTTTCCCATGTTTACTACATTCAATGCCCGACTATTTATAGCCAGCTAATACTTGTGGCAAAATATACCAGATTTACAGATTAGAAGACTGGATCTGGCAGAATTGCTAAGAATTTCTTGAGGATTTTAGGGAGGGAAGTTATGAAGAACAGGAGACCAGGACTATCGGAGTTCTTTGCTGGTTTGTTTTTTGGGGTTTGTTTTTTTTTTTTTTTGAGCTCTTTGCTGTTTTTCCTCTTGATGTTTGTTTTCAATCGCTATGTTGTCTCAAATTGTAAATTTATCACGTAATCCAATGTGCAAAACAGAAAATGCACTATGAGAATTTTTTCGTTTTTTCCAATTTTTTCAAAAGAAAAAGTAAAAGAAAACAAGCAGGCCAGGGATGGTTTACAGTGTAATTCTAACTACTCAAGGCTGAGATCTTGGGGGGGTGGGGAGAGGAGTGGGTGGGGGAGGTGGGGTAGGAAAGGGATAGCAGGAGAAAAACAAAGGCAGAGGTAACAATGCTCTACAAGAAATGTACTCATTACCTTACTGATGTAGCTGTAACCTCTCTGTACAGCATCTTTACAAGAAAATAAAATATTTTTTTAAAAAATAAAATATTTAAAACAAAAAGGAGGATCAAAGTTCAAAAGCAGCCATGGCATTAAAGTCTGTGAGGCTCTGATCTCGATTACCAAAACACCAAAGTAGAGCCGTGGATTCTCTCTCTCTCTCTCTCTCTCTCACACACACACACACACACACACACACACACACACAAAACGATGGAAATATGTGAAGACTGACTATAAACTGAACTTTCAGGTATTCTTAAAAAGACATCTTTTAGCTGGGCGCTGGTGGCTAACGCCTGTAATTCTAGCTATTCAGGAGGCTAAGATCTGAGGATCTCGGTTCAAAGCCAGCCCAGGCAGAAAATTCCATGACTCTCATCTCCAATAAACCACTCAGGAAACCGGAAGTTGCGCTGTGGCTCAAGTGGTAGAATGCCCACCTTGAGCTGAAGGACAGTGCCTAGGCCAAGAGTTCAAAGCCTACGACTGACCCCCCCCCCAACCTCCCCAAAAAAAGACATCTTTGTGCTTTTATTATTTTTCAGTCAGGATCTTCCCTGTTTGATCTGGCAAGGCTGGCCTACCATCCTTTCTGCTGTATCTGTAATCTCAACTACAATGGGCAAACATTTGGCCAGACCCTAACTTCAATCAATTATGAGCAAAAGTTAAAAGCCCCACTCTAAATGGACATGGAACCTTTTAGAGGAGGGAGAGTCATTGAGATGACTTTATTCGGGGTCCCCATGTCCTCCAGTTATCATTAACACCTCATGAGTTTCCTCCAGCCTCTTCAAGAAGCACACCATGGATCATACTTGAAACAGCCCTCCCCAGCAAACACAGAGAAACCTTCCTGGCCGGCACTGACCAGTCCAGGCTTCTTACTACTAGTCACTGCACTTGGCAGAATCAGACTAAACCTAGACGCGCCCTGCCCTGGCATACTAGATTCTGTCCTACCGCAACGGGAAAGAAACACGCTCCGCTCCCCCCAGGTATCCATACTCCCTTGGGGTTCCTTCAAAGGAGAGGGCCAAACCTGCCCCTAAGTGCCCAGTGGGAGCGGCCGGGACGCCTCCCGCCCCAGTCGCACGCCCAACCTGGGCAGATCTCTACCTCGAAGCCTGCTCTTCCTTGGCGCATGGGTCCCAAGGGAGACTCAAATCTGGGGCTCCAAGAAACCCTAGAGAGGGGTCCACCCGGGCAAGGCTGTCTAGGAGGAAGTTCTTGGCGCGTTCTGGACCAGACCTGCGCCCTACTTTCCGTACAGCCCGGAGCTGGTGGACTTGCCGCGCGCCTGTGCCACTCATGAGGGACCCACGAAGCCTGCACCCACGGTCCGGACCGGGAGCCCTCGGGGCAGTCGAGGGCTCGCGGGAGAGCTGCGATCCGTAGTTGGCTGGGTTCGCCCGCTCCGTGACCGGTAGGCATGGGTAGGTAAGTGGGGGAGAGGTGAACGCAAGCTGGCCAGCAGCGGTGCGCGCCGGGTGCCCGCGATCCCCCTCGGTGGCTGCGGGCCCTCGGACCCCGGCCTGGCCCGGAGCGGGAGGCACTCACCTCCACTCCACAGCGCGGGGAGAAGGAGCCCCAACAGCAGCCGTGGCGGGGCCAGCCCCATGGTGGAGCTGCGGATCTGCAGGTTCTCTCCGGACCGACGGAGCACGTCCCAGACGAGCCCAGCGGCCGGCCAAGCGCAGCACAGCACAGCACAGCGCCAGCACAGCAGCCCGGGCCGGCGGCCGGGACAGCGGCGCCGCGGCGGCCGAGCCGTCGCAGATCCAGACGCGGAGGGCTGGAAGGGGCGGGCCGGGGGCCGAGTCCCGGCGGCACTGAGCAGGTCGGGGCGGGAAGGGGCGGGAAGGAGGAGGGGCGGGGGGGGGGAAGGAAAGGAAGGGAGCTGGAGGAGGGGCCGGGGAGGGGTGGGCCGGGGAGGAGCCGGGCCCCGGGGGCGCTGGAAGGGAGGGAGTGGAGGAGGTGAGGGGGCGGGCGGCGGGGAGCCTGGGTTCAGCCAGAGGGGGCCGGTGAGGGCGGGCAGGAAACCGAGGGGAGGGGGCTGCAGGCTAGGGAGGCCTCTGGCGGGGGCCGCGCGGTGGGGAAGGGGCGCGGGCACTGAAGGGCCCGCGAGGGAGTGGGAAAGGAGGGAGGGCGGGCTGGAGGCGGGGCGCTGGCAGGGTCGTCGGGCGCCCCTGGCGGGCCTGGCGTCCCTCCCTGGTGGGCACGAGGAGAGCGGGGGAGAGGAGAGGGCAGGACGCAGCCCCAGACCCGTTCCGAGGTCCAGCCGCCTGGGCGCCGCGGTGCCAGCCATCGCGGCTCCGTGGGCCGGAAAGACCGGGCAGCTCTGCTCCCGGAGGGGCTGGCCACGGAGGCAGCGGCCCGAGCGGAGCGCGGCCTCCCGGCCTGCGAGGGGCCACACTGGCCCTGGCATCGCAGAGCTGCCAGCCCCCAGCCCAGCGGGTTCTGGGGAGGAACTCTGCGGCGTCCCCATAAGGGGGTCGAGGAAAAAGTGCTGGGCGAGGAGGAGCTGGCGAGGAGGTAGCTATGAAGTGTGCCCGAGAGCGCGAGTGCGGACGGGACAAGAAGCCACTCTCGGTAGCAGTTGCAACAGTGCCTTCCATGTAACAAAGTATTTTTAAAAGGAAACTTTTTTACCAAGAATGTGGTGTCTTGTTTGTTTTGCTGGTGAGTGGGGGTTTGAACTTACGCCCTCACATTCGCAAGCGCAGCCTCACCCGGAGAGCCACCCCTCCGGCCCTTTTTGCTTTTGTTAGTTTTCAGTCAGGATCTTCCTTGTTTGATCTGGCAGGACTGGACTACCATCCTTTTTGCTGTATCTGTAATCTCAACTCCATGGGCAAACGTTTAGCCAGATCCTAATTTCAAAATAAGGACAGAGGCGGGCTCCAGTGGCTCTCTCCTGTAATCCTAGCTATTCAGGAGGCTGAGATTTGAAGATCGTGGTTCCAACCCAACCCAGGCAGGAAAGGCTGTGAGATTCTTATTTCTAATTAACCACAAAAAGCCAGAAGTGGAGTTGTGCCTCAAGTGGTAGAGCACTAGCCTTGAGCTAGTGTCCACGTCCAGAGTTCAAGCCCACAACTGGCAGAAAACAACAACAACGACAACAACAACAAAGCAAAGACAGATTGGGGACACTCAGATCTGTAATCCTAGCTGCTTGAGAGGCTGAGGTAGGGGGATGCCAGTCCAAGTGTGAGGGAGGTGGGGGAGGGGGTGTGGTTTGGGGACAGTTTGTAAGACCAATAGCTGCACACAGTGACATTTGCACCTGTCAGCTTCCTAAATGCACTGCACCCAGCAAAAACTAAGCTCATCTAGATGGGCTGAGAAGGTGGCTCAGTGGTAGAGCGCTTGCCTTGCATGCCTGAGGTCCTGGGTTCGATTCCTCAGCACCACATAAGCAAAAAGAAAAAAGCTGGAAGTGGTGCTGTGGCTCAAGTGGTAGAGCACTAGCCTTGAGCTGAAGAGCTGAGGGACAGCGCCCAGGCCCAGAGTTCAGGCCCCATGACCGGACCCAAAAAAAAAAAAAACTAAGCTCATCTAGAATATGTATAATATGTATAATCATATTTGTATGATCTTAGCATATGTGTGAGTATGTGTGTATGTAAAACCAGTGTGTAAAAGGGTCTGGCTCAGTGATAGAGCATCTACCTAGCAAATAAATGCAAGGCCCTGAGTTCAAGCCGTAACACTGCCAAAATAAACAAACACTAAACAATAATGAATTTCCCAAATTCTCACTCCTCAGTGACTTCTGCTTCCTCTCGGCTTAAGAGCCAAGGAACTTGGGCTGATCTCAGACTCCCTAGTAACTAGAATTATGAGAGTGGCTGTACTTTGATTTTTTAGAGAGAATATTGCTGTGTTGCTTAGTCGTGGGCTCAAGGGAGCCCCTGCTTCAGCCTCCAGAGTAGCTGAGACCACAGGCACTTTTTTGTGCCAGTACTGGGACTTGAACTTAGGGCCTAGGCACTAGTCCCTGGAGCCACAGCTCCACTTCTGGTTTTTTGGTGGTTAATTTGAGATAAGACTCATAGACATTCCTGCTGGGGATGGCTTGGAGCTGTGTTCCTTAGCCCTCAGCCTTCTGAGATCATATATGAGACACCAGTACCTGGCTCTCGTTTTCTTAGTGAAGTCTGCCTTGTACAAAACTGTTCTAGTTCTCTGTTGCTGTGTGTCATGCCACCCCAAACATAAATGGACTAAAGCTTTGGCCATTTTTTTTTTTTATTCCAGGATACTGAGGTCCAGAGATTTGAACAGAGCATAGGGGAGAAGAATTGACATTGTTCCTAATCTCTGCCTGAGACCTTCAAATGGCTGGCACCTAGTGTCAGCAAACTGTAGCTTGCTGTGTTCTGTGCCTTGTCTTTACAAATTTGTGTTATTCTAACACAGCCATTTGTTTCTGCATCACACATGGATGAATTTGTGCTACAACAGCAAAGCTGAGTTGTCACAAAGTCTGTATGGCTCATAAAACCCTATGGTATAGTCTTTCCAATGTTGGCCTAGACTTGTTCTAAAGATTTGGCCACACACATAGCTACCACCTACACTGGGGTAATTTGGAGAGGATCTAAAGGATTGAAGCTTAGATTGAAGCTTAGGACCCTGAGAACAGAAATCCCTGTGTACAAGGTGGAAACTTTGTGGCCTCATTTGTGGCTCTGCTTCACTATACTCTCTTGGCGGATACCAGTACAACCTATACTCATGGGAAGGAATCACTCAAGTGCTTCATAAAAGAAGTGTCAAAGAATTGGCAGCTATGTTTTTGCTTTTGTCAGTACGGAGGTTGAAACTTGGGACCTATTTGTTCAGCTGGCTTGCTTACAGTTGGCACTCTACCACTTGTCATGACTCCAACCTAGGCTTTTTTGCTGGTTATTTTGAAGATGACATCTCTTGGACTTTTATGCCAGGGAGAGATATGAAACCCTCTGAACTATGATCCTCCAGTTCTCGCTTAGCAGCTAGGATTACAGACATAAGCCACCAGTGCCTAGCTTGTAACTATGATTTCAAACCTTTACAAATGCTAACAACTCAAACACAAGATATTAGCTCTATTGTTTTAATTTCACACTTGCCATGCATACAAATGGAATGACAAATGCAATGTCCTGATTACTCCAGTGAGCAAAACATGTGAAGAGAATTTGAAGAGAAAGAAAAGAACTAAACCTCATTGTACAACCACTTCCATGTTTACCGCCTCCACCCAAGAGGCTACATTTGTGAATCTTCAACAGTCTGCCCATTGTGTTCCCTGAGTCAGGGACCTGTGTGTTTCAATAAGAGTTCCTCCTGGTTATTATCTAAGAAAAAGAGGGAGTGTTAAGGCCAGTAGTGGTGTTCATCCAGGGCTAAGGAAGATTAACTTCACTGATTCGATGTAAGTAAAGTAGTATCATGGTTGCCATTGGTCTCTGCACAGATCATGTTAAACATATTAGGGTGAGGACTTAAGACTTCCAGCTGAGGGCTGGGAAGGTGGCTCAGTGGTAGAGTGCTTGCCTTGCATGCCTGAGGCCCTGGGTTCGATTCCTCAGTACCACATAAGCAAAAAGAAAAAAGCTGGAAGTGGCGCTGTGGCTCAAGTGGTAGAGCGCCAGCCTTGAGCTGAAGAGCTGAGGGACAGGGCCCAGGCCCAGAGTTCAGGCCCCACGACCGGACCCAAAAAAAAACAAAAGACTTCCAGCTGAAGGCTGAAGGCATGAAATGATCAGACACACTCTTCACTGACCCATTCTACATCCACATTCTGCTCTTTGTCCTGTGAGTCACTGTCTCCTTCTCCCTTTTAGCCTTGTCATAGCAATGTCCTGTAATACTTTTGCCTTTCATTATATAGGTCCCACTGACTACCCAGTGTTTAGATATCTGGATTGGCTTCAGGATAGTATTGGAATGACAGTGTGCTAGAGAGCAAGTCCCTCATTTCCCATTGTGCACAAATAAGCTGGGTATCTGCTGGATTTCAGGTATTAAGCAGATACCTAGAATGTATCCCTAGGACTTCACACAGCATCCTCACCAGGGGCTTCTTATTTCATGGAGCCTAGTGACACTCAAGATCTGTCTCCTCCTTACTCCCCAAGGTCCATGCAATCATCCTCTAGTAACTCTACCCTGATTTTCCTCTGGTGAATCACACTTCTCACACTCACATTCACTTCTGTCTCTGAGCCTGGAATGAGGTTTTCCTTGCTACCTTTTCCCCTGAATTCTCTGCATTTGAATCTACCTGATGCAACCACTCAGATCTCTGCATAGCTCCTTCTTTTCCATGAAGATTTCAGTGCCTGCATTATGTTGCTCCCTTCACTTTATCTCTGTCATGATCTTGGTGGGTTTGTACCATATTAATGACACTGAAATGTGACCTTATCTCTTGTTCTCATGTTAGAATGCTGAGTAACATGTGGGAAATGCTTATAAGTGCCAAATTCTTGGTTTGCTGGGAAACTGGGATGGTAACAAGAAGAGCATCAACTCAAGGGCTGGAGGCATAGTTCAAGTGGTAGAGTTCCCACCTAGCAAGTATGAGGCCTTGAGTTCCAGCTCCAAACTGGAAAACAAAGTCAATTTTGAATGCTCAAAGTTGTAAGGGAAATGTAAGCATCTCATAGCTTCTTGAACAATTTAAATGGTGCCTAGAAGAGACTTCATTCAATATGCTGAGCCATCTGAGGAGAGTGCAGTGACTAGCCCTTGGTGGTAGACTATAGGCAAGGCCATCTATTTGGAATATTGAATTGAGTACAATTGCCGTGGTACAACTGTGCAATGGGAGTTAAAGAGAGTTCTACCTTTGAATATTCTCCAAAATCCAATTGGTTACAGGAAAAGAATATAATATAGCAAACAGCAGTAATGGAGGAACATGCACAACAATCAAAGGCTACTCATGGTAAGGGCCAGAAGGCCCAGTGTAGCTCATGTCCTCCTACCTGTAAGGAATGTGACTAGATGCACTTTCTCTCTGGGATTAGGAATAGTCGATGAACAGGAAGCCCAAATGGAGGTCAGTGGGGATTATGACACTTTGATGATAGACATTCTTCTAAGGCATAATAAAAGAGCTCTGTGAGTCTCACTAGGCCAGGTATATACCATCTGTGTCATTGTTTGCTGCAGAAGACTGTACAGAATTCTCCCTGAATCTCCTCAGACCCATGATTAAAAGTAACATTAAAAATGGGTTTGCCTTACGTGCTTGGCTGGGGGTTAGTGTCACACAGGAACTTTGGCATAACAGCTCAGGCTAATGCTAGGCCTGCTGGACTTAATCCTCACAGCAAAATGAAGCTTTTGTAGTTGTTGCAAAATGAAATGAAACAATTAAAAGAACTCACTCAGCACAGTGAATGTGATAGTGAAATAATGTTGTTTCCTTCAGTAGATTTTTTATCTTTTTTTTTTTTTCACTCTTGAAAGATGCTCCATTCAGCAGGCTGAAAATGTACTGAAGTAAAATTGTTTAGTAACTTATGCCATTAGAAATAAGACCTTACCACTAAAGATGTATACAAGGTCATTGTTGACATTTTGTACTTTCTTAAGGGAAGTGGAAAGTGATATAGTG